CCCTATCAGAAGCATCGATCCGTACGTCACTGACGAGCATCTCCAGCATCCTGCCACCAGCTCTGCTCTCACAGAACCTGAGTGACGACAGACGTGAGGTAAAGGTTTGCTTTGTGTCTGATCCGGATGGTTCAGATCGGATCAATACATCCTGACTTATACGTCAGTCTCCAGCTGCACTCGTGTGTTGTTCAGAGCGAGCCCTGAGGGAACCTGAGTCTCTGTGATGTGAGGTGTGTACATGAGCGTCTGCAGTAAACCTAAAAACACCAAAGCAGCGACTTCTGGGAACAACAACCAGCATTCAGCTGTGTTTCTGTGCTGAACTGAATTAATATCAGTGTTTGTTAATTCTCAGATTACGCGGTGAGGAGCTGCTGATGAGCTCCGATGACAGAAACGTTCATCATCACACGACCAGGTGGAATAAAGACCTTCTGCAGGGGGACTGAGCCTCCACTTGGCAGCTCTAAGGTGCAGAATTAACGCCTCCTCTGAGCTCTGTCTAAAACCAGGTTATTTTAACAAACAGCTGATCTGTACGATGTGCGGCTGAAACAGCCCCAAACTCCGGCTGATGCAGAACAGCACAGTGTGATGAAATATTAAAATATGACAAAAGTTGTGAGTTTGCTGCTGTGCCTGCAGTCAGATGGTAAAGGGCATGTCAGGATTTAGTTGACAACAGTACAGTGTGAACACTGGGTTTTTGCTCTTATTAATGAGCAGAGCCGCTGGCTGCTGTCAGGCCTCCATACACACCGTCACCAGCAGACAGCAAGATAATCACTTTTCAACCTGCTGGCATAAGCATTAAAACTCCGTCTCCAGCCTCGCTCTGCTCTTCTGCTGCTGGAGTCTCTCGTCCTCCTCAGATCTCCGGTTCTTATCGGTCCAGAAGCTCCTGCAGTGTCGAGCCACACTGGAGCTGCTTATTAGGAGGGCTGGCGGCGGCGCTGCTGCTATCACGCGTCGCATTTCCAGCGTTGAGCGAGTGGCTCGGAGCGCGTTCAAAGGAACCGCACGCACAATATATAAATCATCTGTGTTTTCATCTGGCCTGCTTTTGTTCCTGGATCCGATGGCGTTGACGGGACGGACGCTTCCTGCTGAATCAGGACTTCGGCATTAAAAAAGGCTTCAATCTTCACATCTTCAGCTGTGAACAAAAGCTGACGTTCACAGCTGCACTTATCTGCGGGCCGGGTTCATCCCGGCGCTGCAGAGGAGCTGCAGCAGCAGGAAGACACGAAGCCGGAAACAAACGGCTCAGTTCAGATCAGAGCTTCTCAAATTGGATATAAAAAAACCCAGATCAGAGGTCTGAGCTGAACACAAGATCCCTGGACGTCTGTGTTCAGGTGTTTCCTCCACGTTGACCTTTTGACCCGTTTTTAACCCAAAGCAGGTTCTGTCTGCTTTCTGTTTTGTTTTCTTCGTCACTGAGCTTCTTGTTTCTCTGCAGCATACAGGAACCAGAACAACATGAAGACCTCAGAGACGTCTTCTGTGTCGTCAGATGAATTCATGCTGACGTAAATCACAGCTAGCGAGCCGGTCCAGCAAACACAGGTCCGTTAACGCCCTTATCCAGTTAAAGAGTCGAGCAGCTTCTCCGGGATCTTTATGTTTCACAGAACTCTGGATTCATGTTCAAGCAAAAAAACACAAAACAACAAATCTCATTGTGATTATTTAGATAATTACTGTGATTAGAAGAGACACAAACAGAAACTAACATTCAAAGAGGACGGTGTGATTTTCTTTCTGCTGTTTCCTGATGATGTCTGAAGCGGTTCTGCAACTGGAGTTAATCATTAAAATGTGTTTTAAATCATTCTATGCAGAAATAGTTCAGACTGTGCTTTTATTTTGATGCTGCAAAATAGCAAAAGAGGAAATGGTCAGCAGGAAACAGGAAGCAGATCAGAAAGCTGTCTGATCCAGATCAGTCGTGCCGGTTCGTCCCTCGTGAGGCGATGGCGTCTCGCTCCAAGTCAACGTAGCCGACTGTGAAGGAAGTGAAGCAGCAAGACGCTCACGCTCCCGGCTCTGTAAAGGCTGTTTACCTGTTTACCTGTTTACCTGTTTACCTGTTTACACGGTGAGAACAGCACCAACACGACGCTTCGTTTCTGACGTCGCTGCACATCTGACTGGAACCAGGAAGCTGCTGTTTGGGTTTTACTCTGTTCGTTAAACGACCCGTCGTTTTTATTTCACCATATTTGATTAAATAAATGATAAAATCTCAGCTGGTGTCACTTTGGCAGCTTCAGTCTGTGAGTCCAAACACTCTCGGTTCTGGTCCAAACACACGTTCTTCTCTTTGCTTTCAGGACGTTCTGACTTCTGCACATTACTGCATCCTGACGTTTGACCGTCATGTGAACTGATGACAGCGAGTGTTTGGCGTCCATTCAGCTGGTTTCTCTGATCTGTGGTTGAAGTGAGTCGGGTTTCTGGCGCCGTGCTGCCGTTTACTGGGAAGACCTTCATGTGTCTGAAGCTGTGTCTGAAGTAAAGCGGTGATGTATGAGGGACCAGGATCCATGACGACCGAGACGCAGGAAAACAGGGAAACAGTAAAAATAGCATCCTGTCAATATTTTAGAGACGCGCCCCAAAAAACCTCCACGACCCGAGTTCTGAGGAAGCTCGTGTTTAATTAAGAGGACGAGCTCGTCCCGGAGCTCACACACCGTTCACCAGCAGATTCAGCTTCACACCAACGTTCTACAGATCAGGTCAGAGCTGGTTTCTCAACGTGAACTCAGCTTTTACTGCAGTTTGACAGATTTTTGTTAGATTACAGATAATAACGAGTAAAATATCAGAAAACAATCATTTCTGTGTCAACTGTGAAGCTGGAACTGGATCCACATTAAACATCTGTACAGTTTAAAACAGGACTTTGACTGTAAACTGACAGAAGTTTTATTTAATCAGGAACAAATGCTGTCATTTGAAGATCTTTGCCTTTACTTGACAGAACATGTTGGTAACGATGAATCATCTCTTTAACTGCTTTTCTCATGTTTTGAATAAAAGATCAAATTGAACAAAATCACAGATAAAAATACTAAAAGCAGTGAAACTGTCCAGACGTCTGGTCCAACCAAACTCCAGAAACCTCCAGTAACGCCTGATGGACTTCTTCGACCCGATCGAAGGCTTTTATTTTGAAGGCAGCCCGTGCAGCTCGTCTCTCTGGACCCAGATGGATGCTGGAGGTTTTCAGATCTTTGCTGTTTGCTGCGTGTTCGTCTTGTTGACGCTCCTTACAAACAAAGCGCTGCTCCTCCTCGGAGACGCTCGGCTGTCTAACGTGCTGCTGCTGATGTTTTAACACCAGCTGATTAAAATTTGATTTGATTCGAGGCAGCAGCGGCTGAAACTTTAATTTCTGACGGAACACAAAACAACTGGAACATAAAACACAAACCGGCGAATGGAGCCGAACGCCGAGTAAAAATAGAAGAAGTGGTAATTAAAATCACAGAGCGACGGCGTGGAGCCACCAATCAGGAGTAATGGTGTCTCTTTGTAGAATAAATCCCTTTAATGTGACGTGACAGCGATGCCTCTCCTGGTGGAGAAACTTTGAGTCCCTGGTGTTTGTTTTATTCTCTGCTGACTTGTTCTCGTATTTATTTCTGTCGTTGTGATGATAGAAACCTGTTTGGATGTTTTCATTCTGTCTTTATAGAACTTATTACTCCGTAAATCTCGGCGGTTCCTCTGAACTCGGCCCGCTAATCAGTTCTGCTTTAAATCAAGTGTTTTAATCCTGAGCTGTCACTCACTCCATTCTCTCAGCAGACACAATAAACGCTCTAAACATCCAGCCCAACTTCCCTTTCATTAAACTCCTCTCTGACTCATTCGTTTCCATTTTCTGGTGAATTTTAAAACCTGCCAAAGCTGCTTCGGTGTTCTCAGCAGAACCAGCAGCATGAGGTCCATTTACAGGCTTTAGGCAGCATCGAGCAGCAGATTGTGGTTTACTGGGTTAAATGGCCGCAGCTGCTCCAGATGTTACAGCTCATAGACCCCAGTGTTAGTGAACAAACCCACGTCGCTCATGTCTGTGGAGTGAACGCAGGTTTTCAGATCAGCTGCTCCATCAGAGGCGTCACACGACCCTGAAATCACCGCTCATCCCCTCCAACCGCTGCCTTCCAGCCTCGTTATGCTCGTTAGTGGTTAAAACATGCTTCCAGACGATCGCCTCCAGACAGCTTCAGCTGAAGGACGTCACAGTTTAACGCTTTAATCACATGATCTCCGTCCGGAGCCTTTAAATGTGCTGCGTTTAGACCAAACAGAGTCCTCTGCTGGACCCAGCGCCGGCATCGTGTTAGCGCTCACATCACACGAGAAGGCGTCTAATGAACGACTGAAGCGGTCAGACTGTGGAGGTGGCGACTGGAGGGAGGAGATACTCTGAAGGTGGAGCTTCACACGTCTGAAAACATTAAAATCTTCATCTTGTTTCTACAAACTGTAATGTGTTTATTAGGGTCCAAGCACCCAAAAGGGTGCGAAGACCCTATTGGAACTGCTCGGATTATTGTTGTTATTCGTGCCAAAGACACGCGTTTTTGAGGCCCTAAACATACTCGAAAACTCACCAAAATTGCCATG